CATTCCCCCCTCCACCCCGCAGAACTCCTCCGATGGGAGGGTGGTAGCCGCCATGGCATGGCCGGCCACCCCCTTGGCGGCCTTGCGACGCAGGGACCGCAAGCCCCCGTGGATGTGGCGCGCGACCAGCAAGGAAGACATCTCTGTGTCGTCTTGAGCCAAGACGGCGACGTCCAGCTCGTCCGCGAGTAGCAACAGCTTTTCAGCCACCATAGCGTCCACTCCCTCCTCGTCCATCCGCGGAAAAGCTTCCTTCGCCAGGGCCAGGAGAGCCGTCTGGAAGGCCTGAGGCGATTCGTTGGCGCCCCGATGACGATCGTGGAACAGCTGCCTGCAGTCCGAAGGCGGGCCGTAGACAGCTGACAGCAGCTGCAGCGCCAAGTGCAGCGTGGCGCGCTTTTCCTTAGGCGCCGAGGTGAGGGTAGCCAGGGCGTCGTTGTCCAGCATCGCCGGCAGCGCGCGTAGTGCTTCGGCGTCCGTCCAGTTCGCCATCTCCTGATGAGCGATGAACCGTCTCTTGAAGCCGCCCCAGTCCCCGTCCGCGCCCACGAATTCTTTGAGAGGCGGCAGTCGCTGCTGTAACGCGACGTCCGTGGCTGCGGATCACGCTCCGTCGTTCCCAGCAGACGTTACAGTGTGGGCGGGCTGCGAGCATGGCATCGCCGGTCGCTCCGTTGTTGACGCGCTGGCCGATGTTGATGATGTCACGGCTTGTGCTTGGCCCTCAGCAGTCACCTGACGCGGGCCGGCCCCGCCCTCTGCTCCCACTGTAGTGATGGCGGGAAATGTAACCGCGAGCCGCGTCGGGGTGGCGGGAAATGGCGCCGCGCGTCGGCTGCCGTCGTCGTCCCGCGCAGCCCCTCCAGCCCCCAGCCGCGTGATCTCCTCCAACGTGGTGGCCGCAGCGTAGAGCAGCTCCGCCAGGCAGGAGTGAGCCAGCCGAAGTCCCTCGGCCGACGCATCCCCCCCTTCCTGTCGTAGCAGCGCGGGTGTACTCGGCCCCGGCTGCTCCGATCCGACCTCGGCCATCTCTGGTGGTGATTCGGCCGTGGTGTCTTCCATCTCCGACTCCCTGGTACGTGTCGTCCCTCGTGTGTCCATCGTTGAACGTTTTACTTCTGACGCCAGATGTAGTAAGTATTTAGGAGGCTTGACGACAGGGTCGGAGGCACACTTATTTATTACACCAACTTGTGCACAGTAACGGGTACACACAGTACTTAAGGGGGTATCGTCCCCTTCACTCGGCTACAGGGATACACAACATCTAACCCCGCTAACCTACGCCCAAGTCCTCCACTACGGAGCTAGGGGAGGCTACCTATCCCAGCCCTGGTCAAGCTGGGATCCCGGCACCCTGAGTCTCCAGACCGGCTCGTCAGTCTGGGCTCTCGGGGCCACGCCACCGGCTTGCCCTGGTCGGCCCTGATAAGGACAGCGAGCCAGGGGAGCTCCGGGGCCTATTCTAGCTGGTCTTCAGTCTTCGCTGGTTAAAGCTGATCTCCACCTCGAGCCCTCCGGCTCACCACCTTTTATAGGACTCGGCCCCCGGGAGGGGCCCGTGGGAGATGCAGGTGCGGACGTCGGTGTGAGCACCTCCCCTGTGTACGGCCCTAACCCCGCCCCTTGTGTTTGTTAGCCATCCGTGGCCATTCACAATTACACCTCTACATCCGTGGCCATGCACAATTACACCTCTACAGAGGCACAATGATAAACAATATCGCAGTCATCAAATTAAGACATTATGGTAACCATTACCAACTCTAAATGGAGCGTAGCTGGGAAACAATGTTTGTGTCTAAAGAAAGACAGTTTTTATTGTTTCAGTCTTCCCAGTGTGGTCATTGCATTATTCAAAACAAAATTTAGGGAGTTTGTATTCTTCTTATGGAAGCTTGATATGGTGTCGTGAAAGCGTTTTGTTTTCGAGGGGAATGTTCAGTGTTTTTAAGACTAAATTTCGATTTAACGCTTTCGTGACTGCAGGGATTCATCTTCTTGGTTCTTTCGGTGAAGTCACGTAGAAGGGAAATAATAAAATATAAAAATAAAATAATTATCGCGACGTTTCAGCCACAACGCAAGCAGCCGTCCTCAGGTGAAGAACAGGTCTTAGAGTGGCGGCATCTCTTCAGAAAGGTGAGAGACTCGATTAGCTGAGCCTCCTTATCCCGGAGTTTGCTGAAGAGATGCCGCTACTCTAAGACGCTGTTCATCACCTGAGGACGGCTGCTTGTGTTGTGGCCGAAACGTCGTGAGAATTATTTTATTATGTTTAATTTTTATTATTTTATTATCTCCATTCTACGTGACTTTACCGAAAGAACCAAGAAGATGAATCCCTGCAGTCACGAAAGCTTTAAATCGAAATGTTATGTTTATTTTATTATTTTATTATGTTTCATGTTTATTATTTTATTATGTTTTATTATTATTTTATTATTTCCCTTCTACGTGACTTTACCGAAAGAACCAAGAAGATGTTTTTAAGACGTCGTGCGTAGACCGAACGCTTCATTGCCCACAGAGAACACGACGCAGGCACCCACCGACAAACAGCTGATGCGCAATTTTATTCCGTGGCTTTGAAACCGTTGAACATTCTCGTTCCGTTAATTAAAATAACCACGGCGATGTTTCTCCACGCACCGTCAAGACCCCCCCCCCCTCCATCGTCACACGGCGTCACAAAAAGTCAGACCCCCCCCCCCCCTCAAATATGACGTCACCGACATTAGAGCTCGTTGCACCCTTCTCAATGAGCATCTCGTAGTCATTAAATACTCGTAGATTCATTCTTACTAGACAATGGCCTGATATGCAGAGGAAAAAACCCCACAGCATTGAAATTCGTAACGTGGTAAAACTCCCACAGCCAAACGGTAAACAGCGTGAACTTCTGTAGCGCTGCACGTGTGTTATTGTCATCACATCGCATACTGCATGGCAGAGCAGCAGGGTGGCGTTATTAGCGCGGATGGTAAACTGAGAAAAGAGGCTCACAACAATTGTACATTTCGATTTAAAGCTTTCGTGACTGCAGGGATTCATCTTCTTGGTTCTTTCGGTAAAGTCACGTAGAAGGGAAGTAATAAAAAACGTCTTGAGAATTATTTTATTACGTTTTATTGTTATTATTTTATTACTTCCCTTCTACGTGACTTTGCCGAAAGAACCAAGAAGATGAATTGTACATTTGCTAACAAACAAAAGTGTGCAGTTGCGATGAGAAAGGCGTGCAGAATTTCACAACAAAAAAGAACGGGCAAAACATTCCAAAGTGGAACCATCAAACAAACTAACACGACTTCAAAAGTAGGAATGGCGATCAGAAGGCTAAATTCCAGATCCTCGTGACTGAAGCACTGCAAAAGGCGGAAAAAAGCGAGACAGGGCAGGCATGAGATCACAGTGAACAAGCAGGGTTCCAGGCCAACCGCAGGGGTCAATCCGTGTTGCTGCGTTGACATCTCCAGTGGGTGAAGGTGACGTCCACATCTCCAGCTGACGCGCGCTACTTTCAGCCGTGCCGTGCGTAGGCCAAGCCGCCTGTGTCAATGCCCCTTGAAACACCTCGCCCAGTCACCGAAAATGTAAGGTACGCTACATTTCGATTGAAAGCTTTCGTGACTGCAGGGATTCATATTTTTGGTTCTTTCGGTAAAGTCACGTAGAAGGGAAATAACAAGATAATAAAAATAAAACATAATAAAATAATTCTCGATTTAAAGCTTTCGTGACTGCAGGGATTCATCTTCTTGGTTCTTTCGGTAAAGTCACGTAGAAGGGAAATAATAAAATAATAAAAATAAAACATAATAAAATAATTCTCGATTTAAAGCTTTCGTGACTGCAGGGATTCATATTCTTGGTTCTTTCGGTGAAGTCACGTAGAAGGGAAATAATAAAATAATATTAATATAAAACAATAAAAATTCTCACGACGTTTCCACTGCAACACAAGCAGCGAGCGTCATCAGGTGTGAAGTCCACAGCAAGAACATTTGAAAAAAGTTAGGAAAAACAACCGACACTTTTTTCAAATTTTCTTGCCGTGGATTTCACACCTGATGACGATTGCTTGTGTTGCATTCGAAACGTGAGAATTTACTAGTTTTATATTTATTTTATTATTTCCCTTCGACGTGACTTTACCGAAAGAACCAAGAAAATGTACGCTACATTGTTTAAATCTACATCAGTGGTTCTTAACCTGGGTTCGACCGAACCCCAGGGGTTCGGTGAGTCAGTCTCAGGGGTTCGGCGGAGATTAAGACACACACCTGACTCATGATTGTGCACGAGTAAAACATATACCTATGTTTTGAATTTGAAAAAATCATATTTTATTTTTCCAATTAAGAAGGGTTCGGTGAATGCGCATATGAAACTGGTGGGGTTCGGTACCTCCAAAAAGGTTAAGAACCACTGATCTACATGGACCCCCTGATGATACCATTTAAGCCGATGTATTCGGACGTACACGGCAGAGCAGATTTCACACTGCACTCACTCATCATGCATGTCCTCGGTGTCCATTCGCCGGTAGTTTTTTGCCAGCCTCATGGCAAAAATTATGCTCGGGACTAGAAACACCGTCGCCCAACCGAGGCCAAACCAAAACACGTTCTGAAAGAAAAGAGACGAGGCAAACACAGTAGCGTTGACCGCACTGTCGGGGCAAGTGCTATTTGCGAGCCCCTATTAAGGCTAGCATGACATACACGAGGGGGGGTGGGTGGCCAACACCATGCCTGGGCCACCTTTGTCTTCCCAGTGCTGATGGCATGCATTTAAGGCTGAGTTGACCAACGGGAGGTCCGGGACCAGTTCAGATAGTCGTCACCGATGTTGGCTGTAAGCGGGAATCGAACTTGGGTCACCGGGTTGGTAGCGCAGTGTGCTAACCGCAGGAAATAATCTAGCTTCCTCCAAAAAGTATCATTATTTATCATTCAGAAAATGTCCCAATGCAGGAAGAACCCTTGTGCCAAATGCTACTCTCTGGTACACAACTCAGAAGCGTCTCCTCTCACCAGCGAGTCCATCACGTAGCTGCACACAATGATGTCTACAGAGTCAACCAGGTCGGAGAGCGGCTTGCAGGCGCCCACCTTGTTGGAAATCTGCACAAAAGAGTGGAGGAACTTAGCGGACACACAAATCGATTTCCGTCTGAGAGGTCTTAGAGCTCGCCACATTCAACCAACTCACATGTCAAGTTCATGTATTAGGTAGAGCCCTGTGAGCTATTCGGCTCTTGAATCGGGTGCAACCGCAACAAACAAAAAACAAAAACATGAACAAGAAAACATCTTAAAGTGACTATGTGACCGAGTGCAAACAGAAAATCCAAGAAAAGACAGCAAAATATTGCAGAAAAAAACACCGTACACCAACACTGTGTGCAAAAATCCCACATTTGGTACAGGTGTTGCCAAAGCGATGATTTATAAGACACTTTTCTGGAACGTGTTTAAGGGTCTGAGTAATGAACGGCACCAGTTGTATCGGTGGAAGAGACCATAAAAACCAGACGTGCAATTTGTGCAACATCGACCTGCGTCTTGTATTCGGGCTCAACAGCACAGCACCCGGGCACAGGTCTGGGGACAGTTAGAGTGGCGGCTCCTAACAAGCGAGCGACACCACTGGAACCTCATTTGCCAGTAAAATGAGGTTCCAATGGTGTAAATGCTTGACCCGAGCTCTCATACTCTGATGGTGCATTGTCTTTGAGTTGTGCGCCTTTTGGCGTCATCTGGTCCAACACCATGTGAGACTGGGCTCTAAGGAAAGCTGTCTCGGGTGTGGACCAATCAACTTTAAGGACAGTGCACATACATTATCAGAGTTGTGTTTTTTATTTGCATTATGGCTGCAGGTATTGTGGTTTATGCAAACATGACTCCTTGTAAAAAAGGTGTCAGTTTTGTTGCCAGATAGAAGGGTAAAACACCAATTATCAAGCGAGCGACACTCGCTAGAAAGCCTCTACCTGGTCCGCCACAAGGCCGTGGAAAACGTTGAAGGCGTCAACTGCAGGACATCCAATACAAATGGGCTGCACATGCACGTGTAATAAAGGTGGTGGAAGCGACTTCTGGAATCAGGGTCTTTATTTCTCTTTCGTTCACAGATCTCTTCATATAAATTCCACTACTGTCTTACTCCTTCACGCTGTTGACAGACAGCGTGAGAGGGAGGGAGAGAGAGAGACTCTTGCTGCCACGTGGCAGGCCTGGACCCCGCTCCAGCGTGGCGTCACCCTTCGTTCCAAATCTGACCACGTGTTGCCCGTCTCCACCCCTTTAAATCCCTGGGTCACGTGGTGCCTTTCAACCAGTCCTGGGTAACCTCCCTGGAATCTTCCAGATTCCATCCTACGGTCCCAGGACCACGCCCCTGACCCGTCCCCCCATTGGCTGTGGCCAAAGCCAGCAGGGCCAATCATCTCCTCCCAGGTGTCACCTTCCCATTACTTCAGGGCCACGCCCCTAGACCTCTCCCCATTGGCTATGGGCCTGGGCCGGTAGAGCCAATCATCATAACGAGGTGTGATCAATCAACCACCCGGATATACCCTCACATTACACACGTCTACAAAAGAACCTATACACAGCGCTGGTATGCAAACGTGGGTATCTGTGCCACACCTTTCAATTCAATTAAGTTGCAATTAAATCAACTTCGATTACACCCGACTCCAGCTTCTAAACTTACTTTAAATGTCCCCAGTTTCACGAGAGATATATGTTCGTGATTAAGAATGCACATAATAAGTCAAGTCAGTGGGCTACTAAGAGGTGTGCATTGTATTGACGATTCAGCTTTCATGTACTCACGGAAAACTTTGTCCAAGTAACGTAACTCTCGAAGTATCCTATTATAGTCTCCATATAGGTCTTCATTTCCTTTAGAAAAAGGCCAATATTGCAAAGTGTTACGATTGCTGAAAAAGGTCCATGTAAATTTTCCGCAAGGTGCTTTACCTAAACATTTTGTTCGTAAAGGTCTCATTTGTTAGCAATGCATCCACGAGGCTTGCAACTCAAATTACTTGGCTGTACACCACGAATCATTCCTACAAAACTAAAGCAATCGAAAACGATTTTCCTTACTCAATGGACCTCGCGCAAAGTTGACCGACTGAATTGATGAATATTCCCCAAACGCATTTTCTCGAAGGAAACTTTTATTTTAACAATCCGCGTTAAAAATCACGTGATACACATGGCACTTTAACGTAACAACTTACCCCAATGATAACCTCTGAGGCATTGTTATTGATGAGACTCTGGGCAATGTCCAATTTGTCAATGGCTTCTGTAATCGCACTCTAGGATTCACACACACAAAACATTGAACACAATTATTTTGACTATTTTGCAAGTGCGTTAAGTGCACATGTGGATAAGCATGTCACAAGTACGCATGTGTCCATGCGGGTCACGCACACGCAAATTACAATCAACAATAACCATCAACAGATATTATTTCATGAGCTGGATCAATTTGTGTCTGTGATCAAACTCAAGTGAAATATTCTACGTGGTGAATTAGTCTCATTTCACTGGAGCAGCTATGCAGTGTGAATGTGATCGCCAGTCCCAACCTGCAGAGCAAGGGATGTCCTCTGGAAAGAGTTCAAACTCTTGTTCAAAGTACTCTGAAAACAACACAAATTGTAAGCACTTATTTCTGAATTAGTCAACAACAAACACATTCCCGCGGAGGGAGCTGGTAGGAACGTTTGGTTGCTCGGTCAATGGCCAGGGTCAACGGCGGCGTGGTGTATTCCGCAAATATGCCCGACTGTGAGGGCGGGCTCAAGCCGGCGTGAGTAGGTGAAACGTTGAGTTTTATAAGGGCACCACGGGGTGACCAGCCCCTCCCCACCCAGCCCCACCCCTCCCACCCCCCCCAGCCCCTCCCCACCCAGCCCCTCCCCACCCAGCCCCTCCCTCCCCAGCCCCTCCCTCTCCACCCAGCCCCTCCCTGCACGACGACGGACGGACGGACACAATAATCCCCTGTGGGCTGGTGTAACCAGGAGGTTCCAACTAGTATAAATTAAATAAATATTGTATTCGTACAGCACCATGTTAAAGGGTACATCAACAGCACGAGCATGAACGTTACTGCAAAAGTTTTCTGCGGTTTCGATGACGCACGGGTGTTTCCACCGTGGCAGTGCACCCAGCCTGGCACAAGCGCTGTGGTGACGTCACCGCCACTTGGTGGTGGCAAATGGCGGCTGCTGTATCGGACAAGGAACACTCCGTGTCCCACGCGTAGTGCTGACGCTGCAATGTGTTACATTTGTAGCAGCGGATGTGATGTTGAAGACTGGGGAACCCCCACCGCCATCTCTCCACAGAGGTCGCAACCGGGTACCCGATACCCGTACCCTACCCGATACCCGGCTACCCGTACCCGGCCGGGTACGGGTACGGGTAGCCGTTTGCGACCCTGGTGCGGCCGGGTACGGGTACAGGTAGGCCGTGAGTCACTGGTGAGTAGCCATTTGTCACTCATTTTGGGTAGGGTACGGGTAGAGAACGGGAACCCGTACCCGGCCGGGTACGGGTACGGGTACCCATTTGCGACCCTGGTACGGCCGGGTACGGGTAAGGAATCAAAACCCGTTTGCGACCTCTGCCTCTCCATCAGTCACACACGGCTGGCCTGAGTGAGGTGGACCCCATTATGGGCCCTCACGACCAGCTCATCGGTGCCTGACTGTGGATCCACGCTCTGGTTACGTGGTGGGTTCAGCTCGGAGCACATTATTACAATCCATATTTCATGATCGACAAGGTTGTTGTTGTTGTTGTTAGACCGTATTTTTTGCAATACAAATATTGATACAGGAGAAACTGGATACAAGCACACTTTATATAAGCACAGTTCTGGTATAAGCAACATCAAACATTACACTGGTGGAGGGAGTTCAAGAGCAACTTCTGATACAAGCACACTTCAGATATGAGCAAACCTTGCTTTGCTCCCAATAGGTGTGCCAATTTAATAATTATTTAATAACTAAATGCCTTCCATCTCCGCTAAAACATTAGAAGGGGAACCCCTCCATAGCAGCTGTCCCTCTATGGCAAAAAGTGACTCAGAAGCAGCCTACTAAGTAGGAATCCGTCTGCCAGTGGGGGTGGTGATTGCTGCGTGTAATCCCAATTGAGAAATTTGTGATCCTTTTTGAAAATTTGGCAAATGTTGACGATGACGCCAGCGCACAACGTATGGCCCACTCTTCAAAAGATGTCACGGGATGATAATTATTTTTTTACCCTTCTATCTGGCAACAAAACTGACACCTTTTTTACAAGGAGTCATGTTTACATAGACCACAATACCTGCAGCCATAATGCAAAAAAAACCACATAACTCTGATAATGTGCACAAACCAATTATCATATTTTTTACTGGCAAATGAGGTTCCAATGATGTCACGGGATCTTTAAACGTCCACTGTGCAGCAGGCAGCACGTGCCTCACGATGTGTACACCCGCAAAACGAACCAGGGGCTGTCGGATTCGGACCGCGAACCTCCTGCAAAGGCGGTTTAGCGCTGGAATCACCACATTCACATTCTCTGCTGTACATAGAACCCAGCCACCACTCCACGGTACGTAACGCTGCTAGTGTAACACGTGGTGGTATACGATGCGGGAAATGGTGAGGTGCACAACCCATTGATTGGCAAGGCATACAACCCAGGCCATCTTCTTGGTTCTTTCAGCAGCCATCCTCAGGTGAAGAACAGGTCTGTCGAGGAGACAGAGTCTGAATGACACGTCCTGGGCTTCAGGACGTGTCATTCAGACTCTTCACCTGAGGACGGCTGCTTGCGTTGTGTCCGAAACGTCGTGAGAATTATGTTATTATGTTTTATTCTTATTATTTTATTATTTCCATTCTACGTGAAAAAAGCTTTAAATCGAAACCCAGGCCATGTTATGGTGTGTAAACCAGCCATGAGTAAAGCACAAACCATTGGTAAGGTGTACACACCCGAATAGCACGATTGGCTATGTACAGGTGAGAAATACGTTCAACATACATACATACTTATTGCGCAACCCAAGCCGCTGCGATGAAGTGTACAATGCCGAACATTGGTGGAGCAAAGGGGGCGCAAGGCAGGTAACCAGCAGGGCACAGTGCTCACCACGCTGCTGTTGAGAAGCACCACTTGGTTGTAGTGAATCCAGCGGATGCTCGCCGCGTGTCCCCGCAGCGCGTTCGCCAGCGCCTCGCTCTGCGGTCACAGTCGCACGCAAACGTCGATCGTGAATCAAATGTAAATCATCGCGCACAACCAAACAGAGTTGACCAAACGAGTGCCCCACGTTCGTTAATAAACACATTTCTCCTGCGGAGGGAGCTGGTAGGAACGTTGGGTTGCTCGGTCAATGGCCAGGGTCAACGGCGGCGTGGTGTATTCCGCAAATATGCCAATACTGTGAGGGCGGGCACAAGCCAGCGTGAGTAGGTTAAAAGTTGAGTTTTATAAGGACACCACGGGGTGACCAGCCCCTCCCCACCCAGCCACACCCAGCCCCTCCCCACCCTCCCCACCCAGCCCCTCCCCACCCTCCCCACCCAGCCACACCCCACCCAGCCCCTCCCCACCCAGCCCCTCCCACCCCCCACCCAGCCCCTCCCTGCACGACCGACACAATAATCCCCTGTGGGCTGGTGTAACCAGGAGGTTCCTACCAGTATAAACCCAACTCTCTTAAATCAAACTCTTGATTTTTCCCAGAACTCTTCCCCCCCCCCCCCCCCAAGAGGTCAACACATGAATGAGATTAAGAAATCGCAACTTTAAACATTCGTGCCATTTACGCTAACTTTAAATAGATACATTAAGGGTCTTACCAGAAAGGCCACATTTATGTACATAAAAGCATTCAAATAGGTTTTACACTGCAGCACTGTGAATTAGATTTTAAAAAAACATAACACGTTAGCTATGATTAAAATCCCATATGCATCTGCACACTTTAGTTTGGCTCATTCCACACTTCAGCTGGGAAAAACCTGAGTGAAACCACATGCAGATTTTTCAAAGCATTGAAATAGAAATACACTTGAGAAAATGAAAGCGTACAAGCTTGACAACACTCACCAGGTGTTTAGCTTTTTCGCTGAGTTCATCGGCAAACAGAAGCAGATCAACCTCGGAAATGCCTTTGTTGAGCTGTAAGGAAATTAAAAACACAAACTTTAACGTGCAATGTTCTAGACCAGGCGGCACGACATGCACAGCAGATAAAAACCCACCCAACTATTTCAGCACAATATTTCCAACTGGACATTATGCAATCATTGAAGGCACATATCACGATGTCTAAGTGACGCAGTGGTTCAAGGGGTTTGGAAACGCTTGCTTTAGACAACTTGGCAGTGCAAATGTTCAGTCATGGACCATGGCTCCCACAAACCAGGGCTGTGGTATTTTCCACACACTACAAAAGACATTGATTGTTAATACCTCCTTACCACCTCAGTGAGATATTTCAATTAATCAACAAAGTGAGGACATCGCCCATTTATATTTCTGATTGTAATTTACGAAACAAAAAAAAACTTCCACGATGCAATTCCCAAGTTGTGTTTTGTCCTTCTCAACGAATGCATCGTGCAGTTAAACTGCAGCGTGGGTTCCAGGAACTGCCCCTGCGTTTGGGTCCCTGTTGTTCACAGCCAGATGAGCCGGGACTACGAGCGAGGGCATCACGCTGATAGTTTATTATTACTACCGGCATCATATCGTCTTAGCAACCACGATCCTCCTCCCGCAGTGTTCACGGCCATGAGAAGCACTGCCCGGGACCCCTTGCCGTGGGATATTTATAATGTTTCATTGCGGAGAGCGGCTATAATTCCACAAACCACCACCCCCCCCCCCACCACCTCCCGAATCCTTTCAAAGCAAAAACAAAAACGGATGGGCACGTGTAATTATATTTTTCCAAGAATGGAAGGCTACGTAAAAAAAAAAAAGAAACTGCATTATACGTGTACACAAACACCAACATCATTACACAGCTTTACCCAGTAAAATATGAAGTTTTTTTAAAACTATCTAACAGCATGCCACCTTGCACCGATGAATGCTTCTCGTGTGTGAAGGAGAAGCCGACACAAGGTGGCAGGGGCTTCGTCCTGTACTCCCCTTCTCCCATCCACAGCTGTCCCCAGCCGTCTCAATCTCGCTCCCCTCTTCCCGCCCGTGCTCTCCCTCACGTCTCCTCGATTAGCCCTCCCCCTTCTCCTGTCACTGTTCCACTAACCCTCCTATTGGTGGGAATCCTTCCCCTGACACCCCTACACACGTGTACAGGTGTAGTGGGTGACACCACGTCACGCGCGCCCTCGTAGAGAGCGGCGTCGCGGGATGTGACGTCAGGCGGGGGGCCGTGGGTGACGGTGACGTCATGCCCCAGGGGGGTATTTAAAGGGGGACCCGGGATGGAACCGGGGGTTCGTCGGGGGTAGGAGTGGGGACTCGGGTAGGTGATCCTCACACGAGACTAGGGGAGGCTACTCCGCCGAGGTTGGGGTAGTCCCGGGCCGGGGCAGGGTGTAGAGCCGAGTTAGCCGGCGTTGTAGGGATCACGGTACCCTGTCCCATGGGGAGTTGTAGGCTAGGCTGGTTTGGTTCGGCGTGAGCCTTTAACCACCTGGCGTGAGCCCTTAACCACCTGGCGTGAGCCCTTAACCACCTGGCGTAAGCCCTTAACCACCTGGCGTGAGCCCTTAACCACCTGGCGTGAGCCCTTAACCACCTGGCGTAAACCCTTAACCACCTGGCGTGAGCCCTTAACCACCTGGCGTGAGCCCTTAACCACCTGGCGTGAGCCCTTAACCACCTGGCGTGAGCCCTTAACCACCTGGCGTGAGCCCTTAACCACCTGGCGTGAGCCCTTAACCACCTGGCGTGAGCCCTTAACCACCTGGCGTAAGCCCTTAACCACCTGGCGTGAGCCCTTAACCACCTGGCGTGAGCCCTTAACCACCTGGCGTGAGCACTTAACCTCTTCTTCTTAGCGTTGTTCCCGCTGTGGCGCAGGGTCCGCTTTTCGGCATTGTCTTCTCCATTTGGCTCGGTCCAGGGCATCTTCAGGGGATACGTTGACCGTCTTTATGTCTTCCTTTATTCGATCCATCCATTGGACGTCCGCGTGGACGGCGGCCCTCTGGCTCAATACGCATGGCAGTCTTGGCCACTGATGACTCTTCACTTCGCATCACATGGCCGTACCACCGAAGCCTTGCCTCAAGCATCTTGTCCGCAATGGGGGCCACACCAAGTCGCTTCCGAACGTCTTCGTTCATGACACGATCCCATCGAGTGAGTCCGAGGCTCCATCTGAGCATCCTCATCTCCATGGTGTGGAGAGCTTGTTCGTGTACAGTTGTGGCTGGCCAGCACTCGGATTCATAGAGTGCCACCGGTCGGACGATGGTCTTGTAAATTTTTCCCTTCAGCCTATCCGGCATTTTCCTATCACAGAGGACTCCGGTGACTTTCCTCCACTTCATCCATGCCGCATTGACTCGTGACCTCACATCAGTCGTGATGCTACCATCTGAGCTGATGGTGGAGCCCAGGTACTTAAAGTCCGTCACTTTCTTCAGATCTTCTCCGTCAATGCTGATGGTGCCGTCGGTTTGGGAGCCACACTCCATATACTCTGTCTTTTTGATGTTGAACCTCATCCCGTTTTCGTCCAAACGTTCCTTCCACAGGCGCGTTTGTCTTTCCACTTCTCCTCTCTCTTCATCTGAGAGGAGGACGTCATCCGCGTAGAGAATTGACCATGGCAGGGGCGTGTGCAGGTCGGCAGTGATCGTGTCCATGCACAGGATAAACAGGAGTGGTGACAGGGCCGATCCTTGGTGCACTCCAACGCTGATGGGAAATGGCGGCAATATGCCCACTGCACACCTGACTGCACTGGTGACGTTCTTGTATAGGAGTTGCACCCAATGCACGTAGGTTTCAGGGACTCCATGGGATCGAAGCGAGTGCCAGATGAGGTCGTGGGGGACCCTGTCAAATGCCTTTTCAAGGTCGAGGAACGACACGTGCACAGCTTTGTTCTTCTCTCTGTGCCTCTCCAGCAGGAGCCTCGTGGTGGTGGCTGTGTAATTATTTGAAAATATTTGTATTTCTCTTAATTTCAACAGCTTGTATAATTATTATTGGCCAGTAGTAAGACTCAAATAGCACCAAGGAAATATGTCGATGTTTGTGTGAAACGAATTGTTATTGGCCACGACTATTTAGATCATGATTATTAGTTTTGTACCCTTCTATCTGGCAACAAAACTGACACCTTTTTACAAGGAGTCTTGTTTGCATAGACCACAATACCTGCAGTCATAATGCAAACAAAAAACATAACTCTGATAATGTATGCACTGTCCTTGAAGTTGATTGGTCCACACCCGAGACAGCTTTCCTTAGAGCCTAGTCAACTTCAAGGACAGTGCATACATTATCAGAGTTGTGTTTTTTCTTTGCATTATCACTGCAGGTATTGTGGTCTATGTAAACATGACTCCTTGTAAAAAAAGGTGTCAGTTTTGTTGCCAGATAGAAGGGTAAAAAAAAAACAATTATCAGCTTTTTACTGGCAAATGAGGTTCCAATGGTGTATTTAGATCATCTTTTGAAATTGAGAGAAATAAAAAAAATACATTTTAACAGCTACAGTCTCAGTGCTGCTGGGAGCGTATTATTTAGTAATACACCATTGAATGCATGCGTATCTAACTAATCTAACTAACTATAACTAACCCAACCGGTAATATGCACTGCATATTCTCAAAATAACAATCCATTGTATGCTCATTAAATGTCACCAACCCAGCTGGTGTTATGTACTGCATATTTTCAGATTAATAGAATTCGTTGTAATTTATACAATTACATTGACTCCCCTCTGGACTTTGCACCTGAGCGTCTGAAACGCTGTCTTCCCGTTTCAGACGCTGCCTTCCCGACAGACCTGTTCTTCACCTGAGGACGGCTGCTTGCGTTGTAGCCGAAACGTGGTGAGAATGATTTTATTATTAAATGAGAGATTGCAAGAGCTACCACTCCGTATATATAATGGTTGGAGAGGGGAAGGGCCAAGTACGGCACACTTTTTATATAAACGGAGTGGTAGCTCCTGCAATCTTTCATGTACTTGATACGGCTGTCGTGGCTGTGACGGTTCCACCTGAAGACGGAAGCTTGTGTTGCCTCCGAAACGTCGTGCATTTTATTTTATTTTACTTGTATTAATTTTGATGTTTTACCTACACGGTGACTTTACCGAAAAAACCTAAGAATATGAATCCTTGCAGTCACGAAAGCTTCAAATCTAGAATTGCAGAGAGTTGTACCTGTAAATATCCGCCCCGAGGCCAATACAGTCTTTTGATTTGGAGTGCTTTTTGAAACGTGAGGTTTGCCTGAACTGGAATTGTGTAAAGTGTTGTGCATTTTTGATGCGAAGCTCTGTGCGCGTGTTTTTTTTTCACGTAAATGTAATTACAGGCCAGCGACATCAGACTTTTCGTCCTGAGACGGCGGGCTAGAGATTTGATCCAGACGTCTTGTCTCCGTGCACGCCTCGACGACGATGATGAAGCTACGCCCCCCGGTCCTGTTCCTCTCGCTGCTGCCCACCGTCTTCTTGCTGCTGAGCGTCGCGTACAAGTTCCGCAGGACTGGCTCGCTCGTTCGCGACGACCGCCACGCGCTCAGCAACTCGTCCGTCTTGACGCCAAAGCCGGGCTCCGCTTCAGCTAAGATCGACCGCGTGACGCTGTGCGGGCAACGGGGAGCGCTGCAAGACACGTCCATCGTGCGCGTGCCTCACACCAACACATTCCTGGTGTCGGCGTACCACGACCTGCGCGAGGGCGGTCGGAGCACGCGTGTCATCGGCATCGCCAACCGGTACGAGCCGGACGCGCTCTCGTGCCGCTTCTGCTGCCGGGGGCGCTCGGGGATCGTGACGGTCACCGCCAGCACCTACATCCACTCGGATCACTTCGACTTCCCGTACGGCGCGGCCGACTTCCTGTGCACGGAGCCGCCGGGCTGTGCGCCGCGACACGTGTCCGTCCGGCGGGCGCGCGCAACACCGGGCGAGGAAGAGGCTGAGTGGGTGTTCATGCCCGTGCGAAATCGGCTCCGCGCGCCCCGAACCTTCACGCGGGAATTCAGCGTCTGCATCTCGACGCTCTTCGGCAACTACGGCAACGCGCTGCAGTTCGTGCAGGCGATCGAGATGTACCGCATCTTGGGCGCGGGCCGCGTGACCGTGTACAACACGAGCTGCAGCTCCGAGCTGAACAGAGTGCTCCTCTACTACGTCGAGACGGGCCTCGTCGAGGTCGTCCAGTGGCCCATCGCGGACTACGTGCGAGTGTCCAAAGGGTGGCACTACCCCGAGCACCCGGGCGAGCTGCACTACTACGGCCAGATAGCGGCGCTCAACGACTGCGTGTATCGGCACATGTACAGCACGCGCTACCTGGTCCTCACGGACATAGACGAAGTGATCGTCCCGTTGAAGCACGCCGACTGGAAGGACCTCGTACGGCACTTGAACGACAGGTACGGAGCCGAGATTTACTTGTTCGAAAACCACGTGTTTCCCGACACGGCGTCGGAAGAGTTTGGGTCGAAGTTCCAGGCGTGGGACGCCATCCCGGGCGTCAACATCATGCGCCGCATCAGACGGGAGCCGAACCAGCCGGA